TTCAAATTCCCGTTCTAGGAACGAGTGTCCAGTGCCATACTAACCAGGCTATCTCAGTCCTATTTCGTTTCATTGAAATATAAAAAATAGATAACAGCCTTTTATATTTTCAATGTTCAAATAAACTAATTTCTAAGCATTTATTACAGAAATTCTTTTTTCTTTTTTTTAAAAAAATACGCATTTGAATAATTTTGCAGTTTTGTATTATTCGGTTTATATACGACAAGGTTAATAATCAGCTTCCTTTAATATTATCAGCCTGTTCCAAATTTTTTCAACTTTTGAGAAGTTTATCGTTTACCGTTAACATTTGTTAACTGTTTAACGGTTGAATTTTTTCGATTGATTCAAATCATAATTTTCACGTGACGTCATTATTCTGGATTTAATAATAATTCTTTTAAATATTTCCTTTAAAAAATTAAACAAAAGCTAAAATCTTGAAGAATAATAAAATAAAATCTACGATTTTTGCAGACTTAGGGAAAATTCGCTGCTGAATGTTGTTTTATAGTCGTATTTCAAATGCAACAAGCGAATTCAATTTCTGAATGTATATTTAATATAAATGTTTATTTTGATGAAAAAATAGTGTCGGTGCAATGTAGAGAAATATCTCTTAATAAAATGAATAAAAATAATTTAAAGAATATAATTTTTTATTAAAATATTTGTTTTCAGAACATTTGAATTTGAAACAAAATAATTTGTCTATAACAAAAAGTCAAGAAAAGAATGTGTGCACTTAAGAAAACAAATTAAGCTTTTTAGTTTGTTTTCCTGGAACCTATCGAATCATTTTACTAAGTGATAATCCTATTAAAAGATCAAATGACCTAAAATTTGCAAAATTAAACTAATCTCCCTTTAAAACTTTTGATCGAATCAGATTTCCAAAAAACTATGTTGCAATCATAACGACTTTATTTTATTAAATTGAAGGAAAATTTTAGGGGAACCCTATCAGATATGCTCAGTGCCCTGCTTAAACATAACTACTAAGTCAAATGAGAGTACGATTTCAAAACAATGCCCTAAACTAAGTTTGACAAAAAAGGATATATCACTGGAGAACTTTGTTGTTTGTCCAATTTAAGTTGGATCTTGAGGTAGGTAAACCAATAAATAGGTCTTAACTATACCATGGTAACACTTTTAATACACTTATTAGTTCAAACGATTCATTTTTTCTTTGCTATCCATGAATTCACTTTGACCCTCCATGTATGTGGTAGTCCTAATTTGGAAACTATTGTTCCAATAATTTAGCCTAAACAGTCACACAAGTTTGGGTCCCTTATTCTTTTCTTACATTTAAAAGTTTTTACAGATAGTTATGCTATTTTTACAAACAGTTGCTAATAAAAAACGAGGATTATCTATAAAATAATATTTTATTAACTGTTTTTGCATAAGTTTCTTCTTAACATTTTTCAGTTTAAAAAATGTTAGGGAAAAGAGTGTTCTGAGATCTCTCTAAATATTTTTATTACGATTTGTGCAGCCCTTTCTATAGTTTTACAATCTTTGTCATTAAAACTAATTAGAGGGTGCAAATTAAATTAACTAAAAGACTATCGAAATAAAAAGAGATGAACTGAAAACTGATTGTGGAGGCCGGAAACAAACTGGCGATTCAACTGATGCTTATCATTCCACTTTTTTTCCAAGAAAGACTCCCAATGAGGGGACACAGGTTCAAATCCAACTGGTTGTTACGAATTCTTATCCTGGTTCGCACCGACCACAGTGTGAACGTAAAATATCCTCAGTGGGTTAGAATCCCCTTGCTGTCGGGCAAACCGAGAAACGTTTTCGTGATTCTCTTCAACTTGTAACGGAAATACGGATTAGTTCCATCAAAAAGTTCTGTTATTTTCTGGGTTCAAATTTACAAGGCTACGGAGTTGAATATTGATAATTATGGATCAGCTGTTTAACGCCGGTTATAAACTAAAAAGATAAATTCGTTAGATTTAAAAAATAGTGTGTATTTTCTTCTCTTAAGTATTCATTAGGTACCAATAACGCGTCTAGTTTTTTGATTTGATTCATTATAAAATATTCCTTGCTGAAATTCGGAATGACTAGGTTTTAAAAAACATTCATAATAATCTCATTGTTTTATTTTGTGTTAAACACGCAAACATATGACCAAGGTTAAAAACTAAAAATGTTTGAATTTTTAATAAGTTTTAGTAGCCCATTTCAAAAGACGCACTTATCCAAGTTGAACCTCCTGTTTTAAATTACAAAGTTCTTGATGCAACGATATATTTCCAGCGGAAGATAATTTTAACCAACTCTATAGAAAGAGATCAGTCTATTAATAAACTAATTAAATTAAAAATATGAAAAATGTAAGAAGTTCTTACCTTTAAAAAAATTAATTAGAACGAGTTCAATGGGGATTGAATTAGCTAGCTGTTTATTCAACTTCTTTTACTTGTGTATTCGAATCGACTATGTTTAGAACCCTCTCACTCTAGTTATAAATCGCAAATATGACATTCCGGTTACACGTTATTACAATGCTTAACTTTTTAGCTCAGTTAAAATGCAATGTTGAGAAACATCACGAGCTCGTGTGGCTATGCTCCAGTTCACTACAGACTGCCTAGAAACTAAGGTCCAGACCTGCGGCGCGAAAGGTCGCAGATTCGTGTCCCAAAATCACTGAAGAATTTCAGCGAAATAAGCAGTGATATTTTACCTTAACAATTACTCTTGTTCTTCGATGACTTCAGAGACGTTTGTTGCAGATTAGAATCTTTATGTATGAATTTTTTATTGTAATTAGTTGCATAAATGGTCTATAATTTTGGGATACAACAGAGGACTGATCGTAAAAACACTGGTTCCCAGTAGAACACCGAGCATCACTGGCTGCAGTCAGTAAGCGGGTGGATGACTATGTGTAGGAACCGAGGGTGAGAGGTATCGGTCCTCGTTAAACTATTCTACCGTAAAGTGCACGATGCCGCTCACAGGTAGTGGGGTTACCAAAGCATCTCTGCAGATGATCGATGGCATGTCTTCGGATCATTCTCAGGGATGTTCACAGAAAATTGCCGTTAGTCCGATGTAAATAAGGTACCGTATAATTTTTCAGGTCTTGCCTAAAACGCAAACGTTTTATTATATTGAATAAATGTGTTATTGACGAAGATCTACAAGTTATTGAAAAACTTTGTAATGATTTAAGCCGAAGGGTATTTGACATAAAGATTAATTAAGTAGAGTTTAATAACGTAAGAGTCAGAATCGGATAGGCTTATCTGCCTTACGCGCCACGGATTCGAACCTGTTACTTCCAAGCTACAAAGCGTTAACTCTCTAGCGTGGAGGTCACAGGCTAGAACACCGCCGCATCCCTAGATGTGATGCCCTTCTTTGATTTTCGTCTATTGTTCTATCCTTTCTTCAGCTTATAAATCATCATCTCTGAAAGGAGCACATAAACCTGTGTAAGAATAATTTAACCTTATCTAGAAAGGTGAATCAAACTACAAATTAAATCTGGAACTGTGAAAAGATCGAATTCCTCTAAAGACAAATAATTTATTTAGAACGGATAGCAATATTTAGAGGACAGCATAAAGATTTGTCGTAGCATTTTATTTATGTCGCACTAGCGCTGTACAATGGAAACACCCCTAAAGATGATCCAAAGACAATTTTGATCACCTGTAGAGGGATGTCAAGAACTTAATGGTAGAGCTGTAGGATTAATACCCTCTACCATAGCATGGAAAGTTCCGCAGTAGACTGATCGTTAAGACACGGTCCCCAGCAGATCACCGAAGTCAAGCATCACTGGCTACGGTGAGTGTGCGGGTGGGTGACCACTTGGATCAGTCTGCGTTGGGATCGAGAGTGTGCGGTATTGGTCCTCGTTAAACTGTGCTACCGTAAAGTGCTCGACTTCGCGCGTAGGTCGTCGGGCTACCGAAGCGGGGGTGCTATCCCCTCCGCAGAGGATCAAAATTGTGATGGCATGTCTTCGGATCATCCTCCGGGATGTTTAACAGACCGTCGCCAATATCCCATTGTGCAGCTCTAGTGCGACGTAAATTAGCAACAACAATAGCATGGAAATAGAGTGGTATTTTCAAAATTCGATTTCTCAAGAGCTATTCGAACGATTTCGCTGAATAAGTCTTTTAACAAACATTAAATGAAATAATAATAAACAATCATTAAAAGTTATATTTTGAATAAAATTATCTTTGGATAAATTAATTTCATAATTGTGTACAAAAACTTTTCCATTCGCTTAAAAAGTTCTCGCGATTGGGTAAAAGCGTCAAAAAGTAAAATTAACATTAAGGGATCCAAACTTGGAACCCTATTTTCCAGACAGCGGCTACCTCCTTTTCCTTGGGGGACAGAAATACGAATCCGTCAGAAAAAAAAGGTATGTTTATTCAAAGTACGTTTCTGCGTCTGAATTTCGTAACTTAAAATATCGTATGCACTCATTAATTAGCATACGAGTGATCACCCCTTCGAACCTTTAAGACCGTGTCCAAGAACGCGAAGATCCGATCATTAAAACAAAAGTTATTCAAGAAGGTCCGTTTTTTATTTCGCGCATAGTACAGTTTTAAATTATACATCTAAAACTACTTAATACATAATTTTATTAGATTAGATGTTAGGGGAAAAAATCCACAGAAATTCCATAAGTCATCAAGAGCTAGTTCGAATGATTAAAAAAAGCCATTATTTGACATTTTTTAAAAAAAAGACATATAGCGGTGCGATCATACACAATCATAAATTTTTTTTCTTCCTTTTTTAAAGTAATAATTGAGAATATGAAAGAGAAAAGTGTCATGTAAAATGATGTGGGTAGGAACTCTCTTCAAATTTTTTTCTGGGTCTCTTAAATTCCTCAAATAAAAAAAAGGTTTTTTAAAGTTTTTTTTCCACAATGGTGTTTTCAATTGATTGAGCAAGATCTGCGAATAAATTAAAATGAACCCATATTCTAATACATTTTTGCTCATAATTTTATTCTTAGTTATTTTAAAAATACACTATATATTTCACAACATACAAAACACACACAATCACACAGGCAAAAACACATCACAAAGCAAAAAAGAAGACAGAAAATAAAGCCACAAAAGTTATCACTGAAAATAAATAGATATTTCCAGTTGTATCACAGGACGGTGTTCTGGACTATAATCAATAGGTTGAAATTAATGGGAGAAGTCATTCCCCACAAATAATAGATAAAATGAAGGATTTTTTCTTTACATTGAGATTGGAAAAGATAAACACATTTTGTTATAACTGTGAAACCAAACGTTTTTGACATAAAAAAGTGAATAATTGATGGGTTTATCACTACTGAATAAATTTTTTTACATTTAAAGTAAAACATTCATGAACAATATACTTTAAAGATTAACTTATATATAACGTATTTATTTTTCATAAGACACATTTACGAATGTTGAGAACTTATTTTTTGATATATTTACAAATTAAAATTAATTCAACATACACAAACATGGTGAAATCAAATAGTAGAAGTGACTGTTTAGAAAGCACAAAATCATACCTGTCACTATAATCCTTAAACCAAATCATAAAATTATTTTTTATCATTTTTACAAAAGTAAATTCATTAAAGTAAAAGATCTGAAAGCCTAATCCATCATTTATGTGAAGCAACTTGAAATAGCTTATGCAGTTTTCAGTTCTTTTTTGTAGTACAAATTTTTGTTCAAGAATTAAGTTTCGAGGATAAATTTAATAATAAGTTAAAGCTACTGAATCTGACTGATCTGAAAATAATGCTAAATTTTTTTAAGATTTAAAACTCAATACTATTTCTTTCAACTTATTACACCACAGTTTTTAATGATGCTTATTTAAACAGTCCATAACATGTTTTGATTATAATTTCCGTTTAATAATATAATTATAAAACTGTTGTAACAACTCACTTTATAACACTTCCGCTTACCACTTTTCATATTACAGAATAAAATTTAATTTTCATAGAAAAACGCAGTTTTAGACCAGTCCAGATTAAATAAAAACAATACAAAAAATATTAACTGGAAAACGCCTAAAAATATGAATTCTTTGGAAAACATTTTTCTCTTATAGCAGCCATTCAACTATTGTTACCTTTAAAGTGTGAAATCCGTTATTTAATGGAATAACAACACAAGTCAAAGTATATAAAATTATTGAATGTTACGATTTCACTACGCATTCTATAGAATAACGATTACTGGATCATTAAAGTATGAAATACGAACATTCGAAAGTTCTCTCGAACCAGTTCTATACTCCGTAGCAAGTTAAGAAAAGATCATTGCGGTATAGGATTTAAGTAAACGTCCACGGATGCATGTACTTCCATTTTATTTAGCCATTAATTTGTATCATAAGGCTTTCAAAACAATATAAAAATCGGATAGAAATTTAATTTTTCTTCTTTAATAAGCAAAAAAAGAAGGCTGTGGTAAGTCGGCGATGTTGATATTCGTTTGCGTTTGGAGCTTAGCATCCATTTAGAGTGCACTTTGATGCAAAGAGGTTTTCTCTTTCACTTGCAACAAAGCTTTAGCTGTTTTGAAATGACGTACGTTTCATTCCGTTGCTTTTAGAAAAAGTTATCAATATGAGCAATAATAAATTATATCGTCTATTATTTATCAAATAATCATCCACAATAGGGATAAAATGTGTTTTTCGAGATATTTTAGCTATGGATGTCTACTTATTTATAAAATAACTTTTGAAATTGCTCATTTTTCACTTTAACAATCCATTATAAGTCATTTCAAAGAATAACTAGGTAATGCATGAATAGACATTAACGGACTTGTCTAGTTATTTCATGAAATATCTAGTTATTCTGGAAAATATCTGAATTTTACACTTCCACCATAACACATACATTGCTAATGCTAAGGTGTGAAACAATTAAGTAACACATTTTTTCAGTGATAAGATTTGCATCAGATCAGTTTTTGTAAGAAATTCAGAATAAAAATTCAAATTAAGAATTAATAGAATCTTTCAATTGAATAATTTGTTTTAGAATTTCTACCTACTTGAAACTGTCGTAATAATACAATTTATGAAATTTTCTCCCAACAGTTTAAAAAAAAAATAAGAGTTTTATATTGAAGAACAAAGTTTCATTGAAATAGAAGAAAAATGCAGTTTTAGAGCAATCAATCCATATTGAGTCAAAATACTAAAAGATATTATCTAAAAATTATTAAATTCTTTGGAAAACATTTCACTCTTATAGCTGTTAAAGTAATTTTTAATGCATACAATACTTCAGAGAAGAGAGGAAAAAGGAATCACTAAGACAACACACAATTATCACATAACACACATTTTTCACTCATAACATTTGCATAGCAACAGTTTTGTCAAAGATCAGGGGGGGGGAGTTGAAATTTGAGAATTCAATGTGATAGGATGCACAATTTGTAGAAAAATAAAATGAAACATACAAGATACATTTAAGATAAAACGTGTTATACAAAAAATAAATGAATCATTTCATATCTTTTCTTTTGAAAATAACAAGTACAAAAAACTGTTCTCTCTAATTGAGATGAAACGCCTTTTGATATAAAAATGTTTAACCAATAATACAAAAAACATCTTTAAAATATCAATATTGCCAAAAGCCAACCATTTTGGATCTTTGAAAAATCTCTGATGTAAAATTTCAACAAATTCAGAACTCAACTGATTATTTAGATAACTAAAGCATATAATAATTTTAAATCAAAATAAAAACAATCCTTATAAACACAAAATTATTATTTCATTCATCATTACTTTCTTATAATTTTTATGTTGATAAATACATTTTCATTTCAAAATCATTGTTTGATTTATTTGAAACTGTTAATTATTTAACAATTTTATAAATTAAGCGATCCACAAGTTGAAATCTGCAGTTTCAATTTCTGAACCCGTGCATTAAACATGTCCTCGACAATCATCGATAAAAATAAATATTTGATAATTTGTCATGTCCTTTCAAAACAATCAAATCATACTATAACGTTAAATGAAAAAAAATTACTGTGATAGGTCAAATAAAAACTCATAAAAAATTTGAAATTGAGGCTCTTTGACTATATGGAATATATACTTACCATTTAATAATAATAATTCTTTTTAAAATAAATTATTATTGTCAATAGACTTGATAAATGTTTGAATTTATAAAACACTCAACATATAACAAATAAGTAAAACATAAATACTAAATAGTTTCATTTGCATTAATTAAAATTATATTTGGAAGTAAGTATACAGATAAAAAATATTATACGTAAATAAAGAAATATATATAGATAATTCACACCAGTGTATTAAACCACTAAAAATGAAATTTTATTACATCCAAAATTGTGAATAAATCATTTCAAACACTCTCAATTCAACAACGAGAAAATTACAAAACAGAAGTAAAAAGTCAGATTTTAATTAAATGCACGAAAAAAAAACCTCTTTAAAATATCAAATGATATGGATATGATCTACAGATTCAAGAACAGTTTTACATAGAATTGTGATTTTTTTTAGTATTAACTGATAAATTAAACAATTGACAAAGTCATATATGATTTATATAAAATACTATTGAAATGAATTAGCAGTAAAGCTGCAAAGCAGAAAATTGATAAAGATCAACACTCAAAAATATTATATACATTAGATTCGTAAGAATAAATGATCTGAGAAATAGTAAACTATAAAGTTTTTGGTATAACATAAAAATACAAAAAAAAAAAAATTATAATTAATAAATAAAATAATTTTAATTAAATAAAAGGTAAAAACACATACAACTTGAGAAAAATGCTTGCAAGTAAATAATACTTTCGATAAAAACACAAAGAAAGACATCATAAGTAGTTATTTTTCAAATGAAATATTATAAAAAGTCTGTACAACTTTACAATCATCACAGTTTAAATGTTTTTTAGTTTTGGCTTCTCATAAACTCTGTCAACCAATGCCATTAAAATATTTCCTGGCATTCTTTGATGTTCATTTATCATATATTCTATAGCTGCAGCAGTCTGAAATATTGAATACTAATAAATTTTTTATACAACATGAAATAAATGAAAGAGAAATGCTAAATAAATGAGATTTTATTTATCTGAAAATAAAATCATAACTAACAAATATTATATCTAATCAAAGAATGAAACTAATTTACAAAGTCAGAAAAAAACAAAATAAGTAACATTTAAAATAATAAATCAAAACACAAAAGCGATTAAAGCAGCCAAATCCAAATTTGTTTTATTGTTATGATTGTTTTGTTATTGTTATGAAAACAGAAAAACTATTCTAGCAGAAAACAACAAAAATTATTAAAATTTTAAGAAATGTGTGTTAGCAGAACAGCACTTCATCAGGGGACACACTGCCTGCCAACACACAGGAGCCTTTCTATTGTCAGTGGTGAAATCAAAAACTGACAGTGCTCCGAGGCCCCATAATGGGAAATCAAATAAGAAAAGGCAATTAGAAAAATTGAAATGTAAATGCAAAGAAAAATAAATGACAAACAATCACAAAGTAAGTCTTAGTAATGACTTAAAAGTGCACAAACTAAGACATAAAGAGACGCCCACAAATAAGAAACAGAAATAAAGATAAAGTTACAGTTAGAATAGCCACATCAAAATAAAATATAAATTGACAAATCATTAAGAAGATTTTAGAAATAAATCAAGTGCTGACCCCTTTTTTGAAAATCTTGAAAAATAAAACAGAAAAACATTCAATGAGTAAAAATTTTCAAAAAAGTATTGCCATCTATATGCTTCAGGAACATAAAATCCTAAATTTTACCACATTATGAGAGCTTCAATATCAGCTGAATTATTTGAAAGTCTTTAAAACATTTTGAATCAAAATATAATAATTACAGTAATTAAAAGGAAAATTATTATTCTCTAATGTAATCCCGAAATTCCAGATAGCCGATAGAAAATCTGTTTTATTATTACAAATAAATTTAAATCTAATAATTTGACCCATCAAAATTTCTTAAAAATCTTAGAGTAAAGGTTGGAATTAAAATCTCTTAAGCTAATAACATTAAACTTAAAATCTCTTCTTTTGTCGTATAATCCGATGAAATTATTATTGTTTTTTTTTTTGGGGGGGGNTTTATTTTTCTTATTTGTGGGCGTTTCTTTATTATGTCTTATTTTGTGTACTTTTAAGTTATTATTAAGACTTACTTTGTGATTGTTTGTCATTTATTTTTCTTTGCATTTACATTTCAATTTTTCTAATTGCTTTTTCTTATTTGATTTTCCATTATGAGGCCTCGGGGCACTGTCAGATTTTGGTTTCCCCACTGACATTAGAAAAGGTCTTGTCTGTTGGCAGGCAGTGCGTCCCCTGATGAAGTACTGTTCTGCTAACACACATTTCTTAAACTTTTTATAATTTTTGTTGTTTTCTGCTAGAATTTTTTTTCTGACTTTTTAAATTAAAAAATATTGTAGTAAGCACTGTCGACTACGCTACTGCAGTTTGTAGAAAAACACTAAAAATGGTAGAAAATCAATCAGAATGTGTCCTCTGGGAGGGTAATTCTCTAAAAAAGGAATTTTCTTTCATATTACTGGCAGAAGGAAAAAATTTAAACAATTCTGAGCATCAAATTTCCTCATCGTTTCTTTTTATACTAGCGATACTCTCTTTAGATTGAATAATCCTGAATTTATTGTTTTTTCCTTTTGCCTTCCTATTTTTACATTTAGTTTTAATTTTAGGTAGTTATACTCAGTTGATCTTTCAATAATGTTTTTTAATGTTCATTTGTTTGAAAAGGCCAAGAGCATCTAAAATCATAAATATTTTACATTTTTAGTACTTTATTTTTTACTGCTACAGAACATTTTTTCTTCATCCAATTAATTTCAAACCCTTCTATACTTAATATTTGTTTTTGGTAAAACTTTCCTTCTGAACAATTTTTCTGAAATTTTTAATTACAATTATTTGAATAATTAAATATTTTCAATCACTTAGTTAGTACTGGAGTTATGAATTGGGCAATAAATGAATCGGAACACATTGCATAGATCTTTCAGGTTTTTCAAAATTTGAGTATGAATATTTTTGGTTAATAAACTGTTTTGCTTTCCATGCATTCAATGCGAATTTATTTCTACTTTAAATTATGATTTTTTTTTTTCCAAATGGAGGGAAAATTAATTTATTTTCTCCAAATTACTTTTATTTTGCTAAACAGTTATTCACAGTAAAACTCCCACACGAAGGCAAGCATGGTGTCTCTGATTGCATATATGTTTATTTTGCCCTATTTCAATTTACTTTACTATTTCAATTTATGTATAATTTTTACTAATATATATTTGCAAGACAAATTTTGAGTTCATGCATGCTGCTTTAGCTCATTCTAGGCTTGACATCTACATTTGGTTACGCTACTTCTTCAAATTATATTTTAACAGGTCATTAAAGATTGGATTTCATAATATATATATATATACATACATTACCAGCAAAAGGGAAATATTAAACAGTAGTTAACCTTGAGCTGATCAAGATGGTCATTATTCAGTTCTCTAATCACAAGCAACAAATAGTTAATTTAAAAGAAAGTTACACAGTTTTTAATTAATTAAAGAATATATTTAAGTAAGTAAAGTTCTAAATAGTTACCATTTTGTAAAAAAATACTTTATACAATTTGTTTGAATCAATCTAAAGAAGAAAGAGTTGTAGATTTGTCTTCAAATAATTTTATCTACCAATTCTGCCTCCCTTTCAAAAAAGTTAGCATAAAACAGCAGGTCGCATAAAATTGCATTTAAACAGTCTCATTAAAATACATTGAAAATTTTTTTAAAATATCTTTAATCCATATTATTTTCAGTTTATGCAGAGTAAAAAATGACTTAGAATAAATTATTTTCTCACACATAACTTAACTAAACATTCAAGCCTGTTTTATGTCATCTGATTTTTGCATTCAAATGTAATCTACTAAAATACTGATCCATTTAAAGGGATTTTACTTAATTTTAAGGTTTCACTAATTCACACTTTTCCACAGCCATAGGGTGCAGCGACAATAACTTTGACATTATCCCAGAATACAGGAAATTTTCTATCACTTATTTTTCAATTATTCATTTACATAAGTTCTAATTCAAACACCCACTTTACTATAACCTATAATCTAAAGAATGAAAATGGAATTTGGTTAACAAACATGGGTCAGTTGCAAGTGCGAGGAATTTCCAGTAATTGCATAAAATGAAAGCTGTCCGATAGAACATCAGAGATCACCCACTCATTAAGTATGTTAGAACAAAATTTTGTAATTCATAACAAAAACATTCATAAAAGATACAGCTTATCTGCAGTAGGTGGAATTGAATCGTCAAATCCTACCAATGATTGATTTTTGCATGAATAATAAAAAAAAAAAAAAGCTCTTTAACAATGACTGAAAAGCGATGACCTATGAAGGAAAATATATTTAATCATGTTACAATTATTTCAAGCCAATTTTGAAAAATTAGACTAAGATACCGGCAACAAGTGACCATTGTTCAGAGGTTTCTCTTGATGTAAAACATATGGAAGACATTTAGTATCATAAACATATGGCTGTTCTGTGGAGGTTTGACAGTAGCAATGAAAAATATATCAAATTCATGATTGATTAAGAGAAGTAAATAAAGTATTTAAAAACAAAATGAGTCATTATTTTGACACTTCGTTCAACATTTTAATAAGTATTAGGGGGTTAAGCCCCTTGTAAGCTGCCTCTCACAAACAATGATTGATTTGGAGTAATTGTTGTTTTGAAGCATAAGACATTTTTCACTCATTTAAAATATGATAAAGAATTCTGTTTGCTTGCACCCCCTTCCCAGTTCACACATTTATTATTCTAAAATTAAATGTCCAATTTGATTGATAAGTAGTATGAAATATTTCATAAGAATCTTATTATTCTTATGATTCCACTAAGGTATAATAGTGAACATAAATAATTTTGCTTAGCGATAAATTAAAAAAAAATAATAACATTTAAAATTAAAAGTATATTGTTATAACAAACTGGGTGATCTATTATATCATAGCTTTCCAAAACAAGGTGATACATTAAACACAATTTGTGCATGAAACTGATCATTAAGTTTTAAATAATTTATAATAGCTTATTAATGTCATTTACACCAAAAAATAATAATTGTAAAATAATGAATAAGTTTAGGCATCAATTCAAATAAGTTCATCTTAAATGTAGTGTAATAAGGCAATATCGTAGAATTACGTTTTAATTTTAAACTCTTAATTTAGAAAACAAAATAGAAAACGTATAATAGGAGAGTAAAATATGAAAAATGAATATTACACCGTTAAACTTGGGATACAAAAATATTTTACGAAATCCAAACTTTTTTTACTTTAATTATAATTGTTTAATTATGACTTTAGGAAGTAAGAGAATTTTTAGGGAAGTGACTTTGGTCTTGTTTTGTCATCTCATGTACATATTTATACTTTTGTATCATTGTCTTCTTTAGATGTTAGTACTTTTTGCTTTGCCATTGGAAATTTAAAAAAAATGACTTTTATTAATTTTATAAGGATGATAACCAAAAAAATATGGAAGTTAAGGTAGGAAAACTTGATCCTAGCATGCCAGTCTATGAACAATAAAAATGCATCAACAGTAATGGAAAAATGCAGCACCCTCACTAGATTTTTATACATACTTAGAAATGTTTTATAAATATTTATGCTTAAAAATATTGATAAAGCTAAAAGACTAATTTACCTTTGATGCTAATTCCTCAGGAGTTAGATTAGAATCATAAGGAATAGGAGGACCAATAAAAGTTCTATAAAAATAGTATATATTTAGAAATACATCATAACTGGCAATTACATACAATTAAAAAAATACACACTTCCTTAATTTCTAATATTATATATATATTTAAAATGAAAAGATTATAATTCTAATAACAAGGGTCTACTTAATATGACATGTGTGTTATGGTACTGCATTACTTTAATAATGCTCATTTTCTAATACAGCAACTATATGAACGCTGAGTACAAGTTTATCTCAATATAATACAAATACCATTAAATATTTAAACTATAATAAAATATTTATTAGCTTCGTAATAACCTATGATCAATGCTTTTGTTACTTTCATAACATATATTAAATTTAAAAAAATCTAAAAGGAACATTCAAATTCTATAATATGACTCAGAGAGCAATCTAAAAACACAATTAAAAATAAAAAAAAACACATCTTTTTTCATACATTATACTCCAGTACAAAGATAATCCATATAACTGTTTAAAAAGTATATTTTCAGAAATTTAAAGAGACCTATAAATTCATAAAAATATCAATTGAGATATGCAAGCACTCTCCCAAACCAATATAATTAATCTTTCTTAATATTGTTATTGAAATTTCTTCATTAAAAAAATAATACCGTTGTTGGACAATCAACAAAAGCATGTTTATTCTAATAACAATCAGCCTAAAATATTCACTTCCACTTCAAGATACAAAGTTTTAAAGCATTATAAGCAATTTCTAAGTTTTGCCAAAAATAACCTAACTTTCATAAGAAACCTGGGAAAAAAATAATGCTGGATAATATATCAACTCTGAGTAGAAAATGGTACTTACTTTAGTTTTACAGGGAACCCCCCGTAGATGGGAAGTACAGGAAATCGAGTTCTTTCATAGATTTTTCTTAAAAAACCTGAAAGAAAAAGTATCCCAAATAATTATGCAATCTAGCTATTTAAAGTTTAAAAAAATTTCAAAAGTATATAAAGAAAGCATGTTTCTGTTGTTGTTGTTCTCATCCTCATGACCAGCAGAGTCATGACCATGAGCTCCTTCACTCTGAGAAAGTCTAGCACCAACAGGGGAGCTTGAACCAGGTCCTGCCTGGTAATAAAATGTGGTCAGGGGAGGCCTGGGCAGCAGAACACTTAGTGCAGATTTAAAAGTGTTTATTACCATTGTTATAAGTTATTGATGACAGATGTCCATTGAGGAAACGAGTAATGGCTGTTTGTTCTCGTCTACTGCTGCCCCGAGCCAAGGAGCCCTCTGGGCACCTACTTTGAGACCATGAGTAAGCATCTTTCTTTTTTGAAAATGTGAAATAAGCATTCATGTTTTAATTACGGTATGATTCATAAAAATTTTACTTACGGCTTCCGGTTTTCACAGACCTGAAAGCTTCTCTGAGATTTTGAGTGAAGATTGGAACTATTGGCTACAAAATCAAAGGAAACAATAAAAATCATCAATAAATTATCTATATATACAAAATATTTAATTTAAGTTATACATTTAGGAGATAATATGGTTAGAATATGCAGAATTGTACAGTTATTTCATACTTGTCTTATCATTATATACTTAACTTTCTGAAAGGTTAGCTCAGATAAGCTATTGAAAATAAAGACAAAACAGTTAAAAACTTTGTATTGTAATCAGATAAGTGATTAAAAATTAATTAAGGAATAGTTAACAGGTTAAACCTTGCATTATTTAGAGTTTAAAGTAATATAAAAACAAACATATAGATTAAAAAAAGATAAAAATAGAAGCAAGACAAATAAATTTTGATAAAATACTAATTCATGATAAAATAAACAGAAATTGATAGTAATCGTTTTTCAGACATTCCAATCATAGCTAATGTAATTTTAGGAGATACGCTCAATGTAACAAATAATGCAGTGTAATAACAATCAATAAGTCATAAGCAGTTTTGAAAATCTCTTAATTTGTTTACGTTGTGTTACAGCAAAGGTACTGAGTGTAGAATTACCCTGAAAAATGTTTATTCTCTTACGAAAGCTCTGCAGAAAAGTAGAGATATAAAAACAACCCTTCTGTAATAATGTTGCACTAAATGTTGGTAAATGTTGCACTAAAAATGTTATTTTAGTAATTGAGAATGACGGTACTTAATATAATCATTTGAGTAAGGCTAACCTAATTAGTTTTTTTACAATACTAAACAGGTACATTACTCTTTTCTGCTTTAATCAAATTAAGATACTCAAATATATTTCTTTCCTTTTAAAATACGAACTGAAATAATAATCTTTAATAATTGAAGGCACAAAAAATTTCCTTTTTTTAGACATTCACCTTCATGCTTTGAGGATATTAAATTTGTTTTCCTCAGGAAGAAATGCAGTATTCAGTTATCTTGATTTAAAAGTTATGATGCAATACTCAAAAAACATTTAGTACATAAAGTAACAAGGCAAATGTAATAGTGTCTGATGCAAAATGCAGAAAAATAGAGGAACTTATATTTACCAGAAGAAGAAAACAACCTCAAAGAAATAATCATCAAAAAATAATAAAAATACTTATGACCTTCCAAGCCTGTATTTACTATACATCACATGACCTTTATGATATTTACTAAGACATCAGATCTTCTTAAAGCACCCACAATTTTCTTTTACAAGCACTGCAAATTTTGTTCATTAAATTGCAAGGTACCGATTCTCATTCATCGGTTTTTTAAATTTTTATCCGTTATTCATAATAAAGATTAATGGCAAAAAACATTTCAAAATAACACAGAAGCAATTTATAATTGAAAGGTAGAAATACCACTTGCGCTTCCAAAGCTACTTTTGCAAAGCCAATTCTCTTTGCCCACATGAGTTGGTAATTTTCATCTCCAAACTGTGCTTCGAGGACTCCACCAGGTGCAAGCGCGACAAGATGGCCTTCTTTTAAATACTGAACACATAGCTGGAAAGAGCCAGAAAAAACATGGCAAACATCCATTAAAAGATTCCATCCTATATGGAAGGGAAAAAAATTTTTAAAAACAATCCATGCATAAATTAAGAATTTAAACATTTATACAACTTAGTTCATGCATAAGCTACTTTTTACTTTATGCAATTGTGAAAGGTCGAAATGAATGATATTAAACTCATTTTGTAATTAATCGATTGCAAAATAAAATCTTATTATCATCATAGTTCTTGTTATGCCTTCTTCTCCATACCCAATCTTCCATTGTCAATTTCATATTACTTTAAATTAGGAAAAAAGAAAGCTTTATAATCAAAAATTGAGAAGAGAAATTATAAAAATCTAAATTTGCTAAAAATTAATTAAGAAGCATAAATTTTTACAATGACTCTTAATCAAATGTATACATTAAAAAAAATTTTTTTTTTAGAATGTCGCTGTAGATAATTCTAACATAAGTAAATAATATTTTTACCAGGTATTTTAAAGAGAAAATGATCACCCACTGATCTGATGCACCTTTTCTTTATCAGGATAGTCTTGGCTAATATGTAATAATAATCTATCGGAATAGCACCGTGATAGAAAATTAACAGTGCTCCTCCACTATCAGGAATATTTTCAATGCCAACCATCTCATAACCTGAAAAAGTTCAAATTTTACACACATCATATCAGAGTAATACAGAAGTGTAATTTTCTAATATAGTTAAGCAAAAAAAGTTTGACAAATAGTCTATGAGAAATACTAGACAGTATACAAAAGAAATCTATGAAGCAACATATAAGTAACCCTATACAAAGATTGGCTTTGATTTTTTGCTAACAAGAAATTCTCCCTGATGCTGATTTTAAATTAATCTTTGTTTTAAAATTTTCATAAAACTTTGTGTACTAAATAAAGCAAAACAAAATAAAATTCAAACTTTTAAAATAGCAGCAATTTATAAGAACTTTTAGTTTTTATGAAATAACTGATTAGTTTTCAAAAATAATAGAAGAAACCATTTCGGTACATAATTTTAAAAAAAATCAGACACATTTTACGTTTTCAATTAAAAATCATATTTCAAACAGTTTAATTATATTACAGCAAATCAAACATAGCTAAGAATAAAAATAACTTATTTATCTAATCTAATTTGGAATTATAACGTATTTTACTATCAATACATAAACCAATATCAAAATAATCAGACCTAATTGAAAAAAAGTCATTATTTGCGCAATTTTTAAACTAAAAAAAAAATAATTAAAGGATTCAGAAATTTTTTGAAAACTCATATTTTAATTGCCAGCAGTGAATTATTTTGAATTGAAAACAAAATAAAAATATTATTGAATAGAACAAAGCAAAAATTAAAAAGAAAATACTTTAAACTAAATAAATAAGTCAATAAATTAATTTGATTATAATTATTAGGATTCTCTATAAGAACAAAACTCCATGTTTCAAATTTTATCTACAACATATTTTTAAAAAATTAGCTTAGTAATTTTATAGTTGTATAATTATAAACACTTTGTCACCTGCAACAATTTGTTAAGAATATAAACTGACATGATCCTTCAATATATTTGACACTATTTCATATAAGTTAGACCTATATAATTAAATTTTTCTTTGCTGCTACTCAAAATTATTTAATTAAATTTTCTAAATAAATGATGTTAGGAATAAATTGGCTGAATAATTGTTGCTTTAGACTGTTTTGAACATAATGTTCAATGAGTACCACAATAAACACATTTTAATAATAAAACTCAGTTAATAATTTAAGGGGTTGTAAGATTCTTTAATTTATCAAAAGATGAAGAAAAAAATCAGTTAATAAATATTATTAAAACAAATTCTAGTCTAAAGAATTTATTGCTTAAAAGCATTTTCAATTAAGCAGATCCTTTAAAGCAGAAAGTGTAGAACAATATATGTTCAAGTTAGGATGAAAATTTTAGTAACTATTAAGCATTTTTTGTAAGCATTTATACATAATTAGGCTATTATATATATATANTATATATATATATATATAATGTGTGTGTGTGTGTGTGTGAATTAATAAAAAATACAGCATAGCTTTGATTCTATAAGGAAGAACCTTCTCTCAGTGACTAAACACCAAATGTGGAAACAAAACACATTTGGTGTTTAGACACTGAGAGAAGGTGCTTATTTATAGAATCAAAATTATACTATATTCATTTTTGCATATAATTTGTAAGATAAGTATTTTTTTGTTTTAGTTCACATAGTACAGAGTATACCCTATCCTCTGCTCTTTAAACTAATTAGGGTTTCCTGTTTTGTAATTTTAATTTGCAAAATGAAATTATTTGTCATTAAAAAATAATTCAACAATGAAGCTTTACCTGTAGAACATTTGTAAAGATCAAAAGTCATTAGATATGAGAGAAAACAAGAGGAAATGCGTGAATGGATTACCATGCCAGAGCCAGCCAAGGGCATCCCAAAGAGTAGAAAGTGTGTTTCTGGCACCATCCCACACATCTCTATGATAAGCTTCGCGAAGACGATATCTGTATTTGTATGCACGGACAAACAATGCAGACAGGAAGAAGAAAACAAACAATATAAATGGAAAAACAAATGCAACCTGCAAAATTATTTAAATATCTTTCAATATTTTATCAGGATAATTAACAAATACATAATAAATAAAAGGATTGTACATAAATATCTAAGCACTGCAAATCATCTAACATATTAATGATAGCTATAACTAATAGTGTATCTTCAAAGACCATCATTGAAGTTTTTAAAAATTATGTAAATGCTATCCACAGTATTAGTGGGTAAACTAAAAATATTTAAAAATCTGGATATCTTTGATAAACACAACTTCGGCATCATAAACTCTTTACAGGATAAGCATCGGAGGGTTGATATAAATACTCACATAAGTTTTGCACAATGAGTTTTTTCATTACATATTCTAATGCAATACAGTAGATGCTGGAAAGTAAACAATAGAGACAAGAGAAAACAAGTTCTCTCAACTTCTCTGGCGGATTGTGCTTAGATAGCAACAAAAAGGAGTATGAAATCATTACTTCCTTCTATGTGGTTGATTTTCAGCAGACTGTTGAATCATCTTGGAAAACCAAAGTTAAGACTAATTTGTGTACAGTAAATTTATTAATAAATGATGCTACAATGAAAAGTATTTTATAACAAGTTTTTAAACATTTCACAAGAGGATTGATATATTATAGATAACAGGTCAGAATATGTAGCCTTGAAATAATGGAAAGCTATATGGATAAACATCAAGTTTTAAATAGTAAAAATTGCACAAGTGCACAAAAAATTATAATTATGAAAGATATGAAAACAAATCTAACCATAGGAAACTTAATTTCACAGACAATAACTATTTCTTGAAACAATTTTATAATAGATATTATTTCAAACTAAGCCACATTGGAAAACCAAAATTGAGTTGAAAACCTTTTCATCAGTTCACAGATTTAAAGTCCCTTTTTTATTAGTCTTTTCATTCAAATTTTTGAAAAGTATCAGGCAAAGAATAAGAGCAAATTCCTTAGAAATGCTTAGAAAAAAAAGGGAAAATCCTAGAATCTCAAAAAAATGTCATACTAGTGCATAAATGTACAGAAGTAATACAATTCTATAAACCACATTTCCCATAAACTGCATTTATTTTCACATTTCCCATAATTGCTCTTAATACTTAAAGCTTTTTCTACAAATAAAATAAATATTAAAATGTATATTTTTGTGTTTTTAAATATTTGTTTTAAAATTTAGGTAAAGCATTAATTTTGATCTGTTTCAGACATATACATAGCTATTTATACAAAATTCCCTATAATGCAAAGCATTTTTGGATAGCAAGATTTGGGATTATAAAGAATTTTTATTGCATATTTCATAATAGTTAAAAGAGATTTATTTTTTTCCAAGTACAAACTTAAACCAAGACTGTATAACACGGGCAAAATTCCAAATAAACATAGCTTACAAAAACATCTTAAACATCTGAAATGAAGTAAATACTAATTATCACTACAATGAGGTTTTGTTCATGCAAGATTATGCAAATGTAAAGCTGTTTTTATTAGATTTTGCCCAAGCAAGACTTAAAAAGTAATCATTTCTGAATAAATCAAAAATTAGAAGCTATGCAAAAATAAACTTTTAAACTTAATGATTACCAATTAAAAAAGCTGATTATTAAGTATTACAAAAATAGTTACTCACAATTATTGGAGTAAATAGCCACAAAAGCCATGATGTAAACTGTATATCTATGTATTTTTCTAAATATTCTAAATGAAGAGTGGAGTAAGAATAATTGCCAATTTTTTCTACAAAATCATATAAGTAATTAAGCATGGCGGGACGGTCTTTTCTCATATGGGCACTCTTTCAATGGCTGGATTACTTTCCTCCAAATAAATTGTAAATGGAACATTTATATCTGTAGGATAAAAAATATATTTAAAAATGGAGGTTACATCAAGGAAAGTAAATTACGATACACATTTAAAAATATTGGCTGATTCAAAATAAATAATTTTTAATAAAAAGCAAAAAATTTGCCTACAGAAAGTTAAAACACTACATAATATATCCTACTCATACTTTCTGAAAAAGTAGCACTCTCCTGCAATTTAATTCATACGAAGGATCTACATAAGCTTCAGTCTGGTGAAAAACACCGTATAAAGATGTTTCAGTGTATTGTGCTGTTATCTAGTGTTAATTCAGGACGATCTTAGAGAAGAGACTCTGAAGCGCAAGTTTGCTAGCTTCTATAGCCAGTAAGAAACTTCAAAAGCAATTTCCGAAATACCACTCACATAGTTAAAGTACATTCCAGTGTTGCTTTTTTGTACTCAAAGAGTATCTCCTCATAAGTGCAAAGAAAGGGAGTTTTTTCTATTACAACAGTACCTATATTAATTATCTATTACCAGGAGTCTTACAAAAAATCAAAACTTCTAGGAACCAGAATCAATTTTCAGATGGTAGGTAGGCACTTTATTTCCGTCGCACAATGGGCTTTTGGGGACGGTCTGGGAAACATCCCTAGGATGATTCGAAGACATGCCATCGCAATTTTGATAATCTGCAGAGGGGATAAATTTTTAGAAGCAAGCAAATTATGAAAAGGAAAAGAGATAATCTATTTGCACAATATTTCATTAAAATATAAGGCTCCAGCAACAATTTTCAAGTCACTACTGCAAACTAGTACCAAGATCCTGCATATTACCACATTTAATTGCACATCACTGGCAGCAAATATATATTTGGTGATTTCTTTTTTTAAAGTTTCTAGAAACAGAACATCACTAAGACAGTTAATAGTCACGTAATCCCAAATTATAGATAACTCAGGCAGAATAGAAAGCGGCGGCTGTTTTGCTAGATTACAATATGGTAACAGCATTGAGAAGTAGCATTCATTCAAGCTCAACCACTTTGCTTGCTTCAAGCTATTTTAAAAACTACAGATATTATATATTTATATGCTTAATAAAAAAATTTGGAAAATTTAAATATACATGCAATAAAAAATGAAAATAGGAACTCAAATCGTTGCTCTGGAATAACCAGGGCTTTAAATTAAGGGTGGTCCAAGAAATCTAAAACTCAACTTGGACCACCATAATATAATTATCAGCAGTCTTCCAGATCAGCAGTGATGTAAACAGTTGGTATGCTGTTTTGGTTTTTTGATTAAAAATTTTGATCTGTGTTTTTGTCATAAAGCAGCGTATTTCTTCGTAATTATAAACACATTCTCTGTATAATAATTTTTCGCTTAAATTAACTCTAAGAAAAAAATTTAATAAAGGCATGTAAATGAACCAATAAAAAATTGCAGAGACTAGTATTATCTTTTAATTAGAGGAGCTTCTGACTAGTGAATATATTTTCTTCTTAATTTTTAACCTTGATTAAAAGATTATGACTAAGACGAAAGTAAAACTATTAAAAGTGACACACGATGTAAAACTATTAAAAAATTTTATGGGCTCATAATGGGCCCCAAATAAATTTGGGGGCCTTTTATGAGTAGTTTTAAAGAATAAAAAATTTTACTTATGGATAATTTTGAATTTTCATATTTATTTTAAACAATAATACATTATTATAAAAGCTTCAATACATTATTTGCATAGAAAGTTTACACTTTTTGATAGCCTTTTATCACATCATTAAAATCATTTTCTTGCAAGACATCATATCCAATGCTCACAATTGAAAATGACTCATTCTTTCTTAAGTCATACTTTTTCTTATTTAATTTTTTATTAATTTTAGTCTGGAGAATAAATGTTTGCTACTACACTTAATTATTATGATTGACAAAAAAATTCAATGTTAATGTCTTCGAGATTGTTGTTTTTTACTCTTTTATACATCTCATCTATGCATTAATTGGACTAACTTATTCTCCTGATCCAAATAATTCTTGAAATGTTCCAACTATAGAGCTAGTTCTTTTTCATTCATATCATTGGCATAAAATCTTCAAAAATTATAACAGTGAAGCATTAATTCCTTAGACTCTAAAGAATTCATATTTGAAAAAAAATCTGAACAAATCAGTTATTGGCTTATGCGCTATTGAAATCAATTTTAATTGACTATTAAATATGTCCATTACTGGGAGATTAACTTTAAATATTTCGCTACCTTGTAATATAACATTATCTGCATCTCCATAATAAAATGTCAAACTAGAAATTCTTGGTGAAGTACACGTCGTCTCATCTTCATATTTAAAATTAGGTCAATTTTCCTTCAAAATGGTTTCATAAGTAGAGAGCTTCTCTCTTCACAAAAGCAATCAAGGTTTCAATCAATTTCAAACTATCAACAACCTTTCTTCCATAAGCTTATATTGAAGTCTGATTTATTCTTGATATCACTCCAAAATTCTGTCAACACAATATTTTCTAACTTTTTCAATTTCCTTAGAAGGCTACAAGCATTGAGTCTAGTTTCTAGAAGCTCTTTTTTTTTGTTCTTTTTGAAAATCTGTAGTACAGTCGTAAAGTTTTCCTAACTTTTTTGCAGCGCCCTTACTGCGCCTAAATAGGCGTACCACCTAACATCTAATGGAACCTTTATGACTAGTCCAGATTCTAAGCATTCTGTTAAGGTATTCCACCGATGGGTGGAACTGAAGGGAAGAAAAAAAAAAGAGTTAAGTTTCTGCAAAAATTGGAAATAATCCTCTAAGATGCATCCCATGCCTCCAGCACGAATTATATTTAAGCTATGTACTAGACACGGTAAAAAAATTGCAGCAGGACACATCTCTTTTAACCTTTTTTGTAAACCTAAGTACTTGCCTGGCATATCTGGTGTGCTATTTTATGTTTGTTCTCGACAATCACTTATATTTATGCCTTGGTCATCAGGAAAAAATACAATAGTATCAGACAAGTACTCAGACTTATGACTTTCAATGGGAATAAAATCCAAAAAACGTTCCACAGAAATTCCTTCGCTCACATATTGAACAGTAAATGTCAGCTAATCTATGTGAGAAATGTTTGTAGTTAAATCAACACTTACTGAAAAATATTTTGCTTTCTTTAATTTTGCTTTATACCAAACAATCGATTCATTAGAAATGGAAGCTGATAAATAGAATGCATGTTCTTTGTCCTTACTTCTTTAATTTTGCCTTTATACCCAGCCAGGAAAATTAGCAAGTTTGCTCAATAATTCCGAAGTTGCCAAATAATTTCCGATACGGTGCGATCCAATTGTACGATCGTCTCGACGGAATCCAAGACCTCGTGATGCTAAAAATTCATGGATTATTACTTTTACAATTCTTTTCGATAACTGATTTGGTTGTTCATCTGATTAGTTAAATTTCTAACCATTAAGCATTCTTTTTTCTTGACAAGTAAATAATTTTAGCCTGTTTATGCCAAAATATATTTTCACGTTCTAAAACGCACGCATTAGAATGTTACCCATTGTTTAAGCAATTTTCAGAACTAAAGTGCTATTAATGTTTTACAATTTTCAAAAATAGCACTAATTTCTTGATTAAAAATTGTTATTTTTATATAATTTATGACAAATGCATTAAAATTTATACTAATATACTTCTAAATTTTAGCCTGACATAATAGTTTTTACTAAACTGAAAAATAAATAAAATAAAACATTAAAAAATAGACACCCCCAATTTAAGAAAAAAAACCTTCAAATTAAAATGACTACTCTCTAAAGGAAAACATACTTTAGTAGCTTAACTTTTAAATCAATCAATCCTATTGTATACTATTTGAGTTCATCATTTCAGCAATAAATATGCGTAATAAATTTATACTCACAATCAGAACCTGTTAGATGAAATCGAAATAAAACTGATATAGGTGATGTGTTTTTATTTACACGCTCACCTGAGCACATGACCAAACTAAGTGCTGTTCGAATTCGGAGTATAGAACACGGACCAAGCAACATAAAATAGGAAAGAGCATGGTAACTAAATGCAAAGAATAACAAGAATAAAACATTGTTCCACTGTTGTTGAATGGCATTCAAAACTCTCCTTTCCCAAAACTATATATCAAGTGCGTTACTCTCTGTTCTTGTTCTACAAGAGCGAATTATTCCATCATCTGCAATATGTCATGATCGATGATATGTTTAGTTAAACCAATATTTTCTTTCAATCTCTCTCATTTGCTAACTTTTTTTCAAAAAAAAAAAAAATAGTGTAAGGATAACGAATTAATAAGGATAAAAAAAAAAATAATTAATGTAATAAGAATTTTGACTTTTTGGGGGGCTCGTTGCAATTCTGGGCCAATCCTTAAAAACAGCTCTCAATTGAAGAACATAAGACATCAACAACAAAATAGGAAAAAGATTAACTGTTTAAGAATTTAAAACCCTAATAACTACCCAATATGGCCAACTTACAAAGGGGTTTAGGTTAGTTTTTAATATAACTTCACTGATTCAGTGAAATTATTATATATAACATATTAGAATATTACTATATATAACATATTAGAATAATATTAACTTGGGGAAATTTCCATAGAGTGATCTGTGGCAGAATAACTACCAACCAAGCCTTGGCAACTTCCAGGCAGCCATCCGTGTGAAAATGGGAAAGAAAAAAAAACATCACAGAAAGAGACCAACTCGAAGTGTATAACTCATAGCCACCCCCAGGCAATTATCTACTTGTTTTTTTAGTAAAATTTTTCATGCTTAAAACCAATTTGTCGCCTTGGCGTGGTACATCACGATACGGAAATATCCCCATTTGATTTATTTTTGTGGTCAACATTCAAGATAATTAAATTAAAAAAAATTACAAATCTAACATTGTTTTTAATAATATAAAATAAATAATGATACATTGAAAAAGTAATAAATCTAAATTAGATCAGGATGTAAAGCAATTTTTAAAAAGGCTTACTTTAAAGACAGAATAGAAATTAAATTTTACTTTCGGTGGTTTCATCTCAGTGGAATTGATTACTTGAATCAGACATTGTTTCTTAAATATATAATAATTTTGAGAAGAGGGATCTAAAGAAATAGAAAGAAAAAAACATTGGAGAAATTAAATTCTGGGCATTAATATTAGTTACTTTAATACAAAAAATCATCTCTCTGACTAAAAGTATAAAAAAATAATTTTATTTTATTTACGAGTAGTGCTGACTTGATCTTATCCTTGATAAATTTAAGGCTGCAGAAAAAACTAATTTAGTCTAGATTTCGGTAAATTTTGCACTCCTTTAGTATATGTAAAACAAGATTAGCACTATACATATGCAATTGAATTTAGGGCATGACCGAAATATTATGTACCTGCTGTGTAAAATCTAAATTTTAAAAAAAATCTAAATATTCTTTTGTTTACAATTGAAGAAGAACGTTATAGTGACAGTTAATAAGGAAACCAGTGTTAAATAGGCTCTTCCCAAGGTCAAGTATTATGTCACGTGATGTTGAATTTTAAAAAAAATGGGAAAAGACGGTTTTATTAAATACGTCACTCAAGCTTGCTGAAAATTTACATTAAATATCAACATTAAAACGTTTAAAATCTTTGCCAAAATTTTTTTCACAAAGTGAAGCAAGTTTCTGTTTGTTTGTTTGTTGTTAATTTACGTCGCACTAGTAGAGCTGCACAATGGGCTATTGGCGACGGTCGAAGCAAGTTAGAAACTCTGCCTTTATCAATTATTTTAAAGCACTCTTTTGCGCTTGTGACTTTTTTTTAGTATAAAATATAAATATCAACTTAATTCAATTTCAAATAATATACAACTTCTTATAAAGGTACTTATGTGAAATAACTAAAAACGCTTCCAAAGAAGAAAAAAATCTGTTTGATTAAACAATTTTTTAATTGTTATGTATCAATAATTACTTAATTATAATTAAACAAATTCAAAAACAAATATGTTTGTTTTTGAATAAAAATATTTTTAATAAAAAAAAATTTCTAGCAAAATTGTTTTTCTGTATCTCTTTAATTGTTTAAAAAAAAGCCAGGGGGTGCAAGTGCACCCTCTTGCACCCCGCTGCCGGCGCCGTTGATGAGAGAAGTAGTATACATATTTGAATAATACTAAGTCACATATTCTCAGATCGGAAAATACATTATTGTTAAACTCATTTCGTACTCTACAATATCTCACAGAAGATATTTGATCTATGAATTAAAAAAAAAATATTCAAGATGTCCACTCTAGACTCTCTTCTCAACCTACTTTACCCATCCGTAATTACTTTATAGAAGTATTTTATTACTATATTTTTTTACATGAATCAATTGAGTCTAAACACGAGTAAATGGGACTAGTGGTTTAAGAGCTGCAGGGTTTTTTTTTTATGTATAGAAAGTACTTTTTTTGTACTTATTATACTTATCTAAAACATATTTACACTTTTTAAATTGACTGCTCAAAACTATCTAGACTATTATTATTATTTAAGCAGCATTGAATGGGATCAAATTTTAGAAAAGAAAAGTGTAATTGAGTTGAAGGCAAATGCAGTACTATATTATATACATAACCCTTCAGATTTTGAAGTATCAATCTCATTGTACAACAGTTGATTTCTTTTAAAGTAGGGCCTCAAAAATATATGGGAACAATATTTAATTATACAGAGGATTTTTATTTTATTTTGATGAGTAAATAAGTTAAATATTGTACTTTTTCTACTCAAAATTATTATAACTTCTGAACTATTAATCCTATTTACTACTTTTTTTTTCAATTCAACTTTAAAAAAAACGAACACCGGAAACAATAGCCCAATTTTCTAGATAGTAATATAGAATTGTTAGTTTTAAATAGATAGAAATTTCTAAAATTTAAATCGAAGGAATCGGTTCTTTTTCCTCTAAACTCTCCTCCTTTTTTCCCTCCCGCCAAAATTTAATGTATACACTTTATACCATTTACAATGGGTGAGATGCCAACGGTATCTCACCCATTGTGGTCCTGAAAGAGTGGATACCACTTCTGGAGAACGCACTAGGTCTGCTCATCGGGAAGACTGATTGTGCAGCTCATAGGATATAAAAAAAAAAAACTTTATACCATTTACTAAGTGGAGGGTATTTAACAGTTTGTCATTGGGCAGATTTTTTTTTTTTTAAATTTGCGATTTTAAAACATTTTGAATATATATTTATGTGCCATTTACTTATTGTTCATCGTGATCCTTAAGGGACTTTTTGGGAGAAACAATTTTGCATTAGAATACAAGTGATATTTAAAAAGAAGATCCATGACCATTTAGAAATTATTTAGATAAATTATGAATGGAGAACTACAAAATAAAGATCTTTTTTTTCTATTTGAAAACATGACGGGATGGAGTTGAGGAAAAATACATACAATTTGATCATATCAATATACCTCACAAAATAATTACAGTTTATACGATCTAATTGTTTTTATCCTAAAAATGGTGTTAAAAGGTATTTAAATTTTTGTTTTTAAATTAGTTTTGTAGCAGATTTGCAAAGAGTGTTCGCAAACAGGCATTTCAGAGCGTTTCCTACAACAAATTATGAACACATTTACATTTGATATTTATTCTATATAAATATTTCTTAGAATTTTCAATAAACTTAAATCTTAGGTAATATACAACCTCATTTACTGAAGAGATAAATTGTTTGATTTATCACTGGATAGAAATTTTGAGTTTAAAAAGTACCCTATAACTTTATATTATAACGGTATTTGGGACAGATATTGCAGCCTAACTTCAACTGCTATAGATTGTAAGAAGGTAGCTTTCTTCGATTTATATAAGAAAAGCGAGTGAAATTGTTTTGCGTTCAATGTGTACTCGCGGTGGTCTTAACATTAATAAATATAACAAAAATGCAAGAAAGAATGCAAATGTCAAAAAAAGGAATAACATCCATAAAATGACGTCGCCTTCGACAACATTTTAAGTATAGCAACGAAATATCAATTAAGGAGGAAAGTGATTTTAAAATTTTGTCAGAACTCGAGAACATTACAATATCGTTTTACAGGCATTGTCTATGAATCTTTTAATTTTTTTAAAAATATAATGGTAGTTAAAATCGTTTTAATTACAAATCAAAAATAAAACGCTTATTGTGGTTTCGAAAGCAATGACATTTAAATGCGCTTGTAACAAAGAGCTGAAACAAACTGAGCTGTGTCCGAAGGAAAAGTTAACTGACTATGCTAATCTAAAGAAGGAATTTTTTTTTCACATATATAAAATGTGATTTCATTCTTAGCCCCTATTTTGGAATATACATATAATACCTAAATTAAGCGTACCAAATATATCATCTTCAAATATATCAATGTAATATTTTAGTATATTTGGTACTAACTACATAACCCTTCAACATTTGAGTTTATAAATATTTGTCAGTAGCAGTCAACTAAAGTCAAATTTAAAAAAAAAAAAAATTTTGTTACATATGGCTTTATTGAAAACATTAATCCATATACAATGTTCAGCTTTAAGTGGACATAAACAAGGAGTAACAAGGAACAAAATTACATTAACAAACAAAGAAAACACATGACAAACGCATATTAACACAAAAAGAACATAAAGATAAAATAAAAGTTAAAAAAAAAAATAATAATAAAATTTTTTTTTTTTAAAAAAAATGAAGCATGTTACTCGCGTCCGTGATATCCTAAGCACACGTGCCTCCTGTATGGTGCTAAATGAGTAACGGCGATGGCTAAGGCGATAAGTGCAAAAAAAAAAAAAAATCTATATATTAGAACTTATAAGGATTTTGGAGCATGACCATTTCTCTATCTGAACTTTAATTTACGGTTAAAATATTTATAAGTAGTGGTGGAAAAAATTTCTTTTGATTCTAATTCTTTAAAATATTAATACACTATCTTAGCTACCACTGGAAAAAATATTTTCTGAAACTACGGAAAACCCGTTGTTGAATTCTTATCAAAACCAATTCGCCAATTACTATAATACCAGTAGTACATATTACCATCAGTGATGAATATGAATTAAGTGTCATAGAATGGTAATTTTCTACGGTTTTGTTAAACGAATTTCACATTAATCTTTCTTTCATGAGCTTGCCTTTTTAGCACATAGCTTATTTTATTTTATTTCAATTAGTGCACATTATCAATATTAATTGAGCATTAGTGTCAATAATATTATGCAGATTTTTGTTACGGTTACCCAAAACGCGAATAAGTTTCTTTTCTACTTATTTTTGCTTTTTAGTTCAGAAGTTACTTTTTTTTATTTCAACTAATACATACACTGAAGAGCCAAAAAAACTGGTACACCTGCCTAATATCGTGTAGGGCCCCCGCGAGCACGCATAAGTGTCGCAAAACGCCGTGGCATGGTTTCGATCAATGTGTGAAGTAGTGCTGGAGATAATTGACACCATGAATCCTGCAGGGCTGTCCATAAATCAGTGGGAGTAAGAAGGGTGGGGATATCTTCTGAACATCACGTTGCAAAGGCATCCCAGATATGTTCAATAATGTTCATGTCTGGGGATTTTGGTGGCCAGCGGAAGTGTCACGGTATACTCGTGAAATGGTCGTACGTGAAAATCCGAATTTCATTGCTATCTCGGAGATGCTGTGTCCCATCTCCCGTGCACCGACTATAACACCACGTTCAAATGCACTTAAATCTGTATAACCTGGCAATGTAGCAGCAGTAATCGATCTAAGACCTGTGCTAGACACTCGTTGTCTTATATACCCGTTGCGAATCGCAGCGCTGTACTTTGATTGGCTCCATACCCCTTTATTTGCATACTCATGCCTGTACCAGTTTTTTTGGCTCTTCAGTGTATTACCAACATTAATTAAGTATCATTGTCGTCAATGATAGTATGACGATTTCTTACGGTTCTTCTAGACAAATAAATACCTTTACTCGATTTATTTTGCTTTCTAGTATATTGCTTATTATTATTTTTCCAATATGCATGCATTTCTTTAATTAATTAATAATGAAGCCTCATTGGCGCATGTTTCTCCTAAACGAATTAACACCCATTAATTTTTGCTTTTGATTATATAAATATTTTGTTTCTATTCAATTATTCGCGATCGCAACACTCGAATACGCCATCTGGGGAGAGACCGGTTTCATGCCTTTAGCCCTTCTCCCTTCCCTCTCCTCCTCTTTTCAGTTGTATTGGAATGTACTACGATATTTTCCCTTTTCATTTATTAAGAATATTTTTTAAAATTTTCATAATACTTTTCTTTAGAACTATGTTTAATGTAGTTTTCAGTTCCTTACAGTTTTTCTAGTTAAAAGATTTCAATCTATATGAAAATCAAGAGAGAAACTAACGTACTTCCTTCCTCTATGACTTTCCACACGCTAATGGGGAAAGCATGTGAAGTGTTGCCATAGGAAAAGAGTTC